TGAAAGTACTTTAAAACTCCATAGGGTACTCTACCAAGTGTCTCTGGTGACTTTGGTGCCATTATATGTGTACATGTGCATACATACATACATACCACATAAATACAGATATACAGATATACATCACATCCGTTGGTTTCTCTTGCATGATTGATCATTTACAGAAAGTCTTATATGATTCTGATTATTATGAAGATGATATAGCATAATATGGTTATATTATGATCACTTGTAGTATATTTTCTCTTTGATGTACTGCAACATGAATATGTGCCATATGAACTGTATATATAAACACTTTTGATGAATGAAAGTGTCAACGTTAATTCTGCAGGTGAGAACCATCTTGGATATAGGATGTGGTTATGGTAGTTTTGGAGCGCATCTCTTTTCCAGTCAGATCCTAACCATGTGCATTGCAAACTATGAGGCTTCAGGAAGCCAAGTTCAGCTAACTCTTGAAAGGGGTCTTCCTGCGATGATTGGTTCTTTTACTTCGAAACAGTTGCCATATCCATCTCTCTCTTTTGATATGTTGCATTGTGCACGGTGTGGCATTGATTGGGACCAACGAGGTAATCAGTCAGAAGTTAATTATCACAAAGTGGTTCTTCTTTTTAGACTTCCATATATGCACATGTACTTGTATATCTGCAAATACTCTGCGTTATGTTGTGTTTGCTGTAAACTTATCCTGAAACCTATGTACATTTCGAGAACTGAAAGAAAACTATGTATCACCAATGTATAAAACCAAAAAATATCAATTTCTCTATTTTAAAGAATTTCCAGAAATATTAGTAGATCTTTATTCTTTAGAAGAATATTTAGAATAATAGTTTGTGGGTTACAAAGTTTTCCTGGGTGTGGTTGTATATTTTTGTGAAGTATTATCTGACCATTAATATGGTAATTGGAAAAAAGAAAGTTTGAATAAGAGAAAAAAGTTGATGTGATGCACAAACCTTAGTTTGCAGAATCTTAGACTCTGGACTGTGAATTTGAGCACCTTGGTTTTGCTGTTGTGAATTTCTGGATTTGGATGGGTCCACGTTTAGTGTATGTTAATCATCTGTATAAAATGTTATGTCGTACAGATGGGATCCTCTTGATTGAAGTTGATAGAGTTTTGAAGCCCGGTGGATACTTTGTCTGGACATCACCAATTACAAATGCTGAGACGTTTCGTCGTAACAAAGTGAATCAGAAAAGGTGGAACCTTGTGCATGATTTTGCAGAAAATCTCTGCTGGGAGATGTTATCACAACAAGATGAAACAGTTGTATGGAAAAAGACCAGTAAAAGGAATTGTTATAGTTCACGGTAAGGAAACTAACATGGTTTTCTTCTCAACTTGGGATCATATGTGTTTGGTCTTTAGTGCATGAAAATAAGAGCTGATACTGATTTGTATTACAATCTGCTTATTCTTTAGGAAGCCTGGTTCAGGTCCCTCTATATGCAGCAAAGGCCATGATGTTGAATCTCCATATTATCGACCACTCCAAGCCTGTATTGGGGGAACACAAAGCCGCCGATGGATTCCTATTGAAGAGAGGACGACCTGGCCTTCAAGGGCTAATCCAAACAAGAGTGAACTTGCAATATATGGTACTTCTTGTGTTCTTGATACAGCTTAGAGTGGAAAAAATAAATGCATTATTTGCTTAGCCTCTGACTTATCTGTATATCTCTTACTTTATTTTTGGTGAAAATCATATGCTTTATGTATGTGTTATAATTTTCATTCAGGATTGCACCCAGAAGAACTCTCTGAGGATGCCGAGGCCTGGAAAATGGCAGTCCGTAATTATTGGTCTCTTCTGTCACCATTGATATTCTCAGATCATCCAAAGAGACCCGGCGATGAGGATCCTTCACCACCCTATAACATGCTTAGAAACGTACTTGACATGAATGCTCATTTTGGTGGTTTTAATTCTGCATTATTGGAAGCTGGAAAATCCGTGTGGGTCATGAATGTGGTCCCGTCAAATGGACCCAATTATTTGCCCTTGATCCTTGACAGGGGATTTGTCGGTGTTCTGCATGATTGGTAAAACTACTTTTGTCTTTGCATCCTCCTTTCCTTACATCCTGTTGTCTTACGGTTACTTGGAATCTCAAACTTAACCAAATTTCATCTGCAAAAAGTACCATATCAACTTAATTTGTTTTGCTTGCTATCCCAAGTCTTGTTGCTATTGGATTTTTGTATTTTTTAACTTAAACATTCATGAAGGAGAGAAAGTAGATTCGTACCCTAACTAGGGATTTTTTTGGCCTTCATGTTTAGCAGTCAGCTGGTGCTCCTTCCCTTGGTTGATCAGTGGGGCAAACCAAACAGGAATTTTGTATTATAAAAATGACCTCAAGTTTCTTAAATTAGGCTGACTTTACGGATCTGATGGTTGAATTCTTGATGGGGGAATTCAGACTTCATTTTACTTGGTTAGCTGCCAAATTATAAAACTCTGGTTAAAATTTCATTGGTCAGGACAGTATTAGAACAGCCTTGCCATTTGGAATAATTCAGCATTAGAACAATTTTGTAACTTGGGTAAATAACTTGAAGAAATAACTAGCAATGCATGCTAAGGGATGTCATCATACATTTGGTTTGTGAAAGGATACTTGTAACTATTGAATTTATAGTTTGTTTAAATACTACTTTTTCTCTTTTTCAGGTGTGAACCCTTTCCAACATACCCAAGAACCTATGATCTGGTGCATGCAGCAGGACTTCTTTCCCTTGAAGTTGATCATCAGCGCAGATGTACCATTCTGGATCTATTCACTGAGATTGATCGATTGCTTCGTCCAGAGGTACCCATACTAAACGGTCCTATTTTATCTATGGTTATTTTGCAAGGGTCCTTTTTTTTCCAATTCTATTCAATGGCTTTGAACGTTCAGAAGAAGTAGTCAGACATGCACTAATTAATTACTGGATGTTGATTATCATGCAAGATTACAGAGCATATTATAATTTTCAATTTAAAAATCAATTTACTATCGGAGCATTCTGTTGTGCCTAGAATATGTTATTTGTTGCATTGAATGGCTTTTTGCACGCAAGATTGAATTGGTTGCCATGCAAGTTTGTATGTCACAGTTATATTATTGGTATTTTTACCATTTAAAGAAGATGTAAGTTTTTCTCAAAAAGAAGATGTAAGTTTTCAAAAAATTAAGTTTGTAGCAAGGAACATGCGGGCGGTCTTTTGTACATCCATAAAAATCATGTGTCTACTGCATATATGGTACTGTGTAACTATTCCACTTAATGACTCAAGGAAGAAAAATAAAACTCTCATTTGGTTTTGGCTATGTTTTGGTGATACTAAAACTGGCTGTTGGTTTTGTCTGTGTTTTACTTAAGTGCGGTTTCTTTTCCACGCTGGCTATTTGCCCATAGAAAGGGGAGCTGATAAGTAAATTGTAGACTCATAGAGGAAATGCTTTTTAAGCCTTTTATAGACACATCAGTTCTTATAGATGGATAGATGTCTAGTAACATGTCTGGACGCAACTGGTCAGAACACATGGACAAGCATATGATAATCATATTTTCCTTTAGTGTTGGATGAAGCCTTTAACCACTATGCATCCACAAGTTATGTAAGAGGCTAATTGATTAACTTCAATGCCACCAAAACACAAAAGAAACTTACAGTTGCTATGAAGGATTGCTTGTTTGTTTCATTATGTTAGTTATGATTCTGATGTTGATGGTTATTGCAGGGTTGGGTGATAATCCATGACAAAGCTGCTCTTGTTGAATCAGCAAGAGCTCTGACAACAGGGCTGAAGTGGGATGCGCGTGTGGTAGAAATCGAAAGCAACAGCGATGAGAAACTACTCATATGCCAAAAGCCTTTCTTCAAGAAACAAGCAAACTAATAAGGAGTTTCCAAAGGGAGCCTGAGATATGGTGGTATATCACTTCATTCATATTCATTTACTTATTTTAATCAATCATCATAAAGCTCTGCCGTTGAAAGGAGGGAATCAAAAATTTTGGACAGAAGAAACCAAAGAAAACATGGGAGAAAAGAAATCAAAATTCGGTCTTGTAAAAGCGACACAACTCCTGTGGAGCCGTAAGGCTGCCATAGGACATAGGTCATGTAATTATTATGGTATTGAGGTCCGGAGCAAGTGAGAGAGAAGTGTAGGATTAGATTTTTAATCTTTCGTGTAATTTCTCATTGTAACTATACAACCACATGATTAAGATTGTGAAGATCATTACAGAATAAACAAATGCAGTCAGTTTCTTATCGTGTAAAAACATGCTTGGCAATACATTTATGTCGAGCACCATCAAAAGTTGATTATATTTTACATTTGCAGTAATACATGATCCATTTCAAATGTGAAGCTTGTAATTTGGCCTTTTCTGGGGAAACAAAGTTTGCAAGCGTGCATTAGATTTGTCCATGTGAAGCGGCAATGGCATTGAGCTCTCTCAGCTCATAGGGTTGATTTTTCTCTTCTGGGCTTATTCGAGACATACACCCATGAGTCGCTCTTGGGCCAATTGGTTCACTAGTTCTCTCATAAAATAGCTCATAAAGTGTTAGTATTTAAATGTTACAAAAGAAAATTATGATTTCTTTTAGAAACACTAAAGATTGGATAAAGAGGGAAGGAGCAAGGGGCTTGTAGCTCAAGCGGTTAGGAGCATTTACTCTTGTACCTGCACTAGAGGTCCTAGGTTTGTTTTACCCGTCGCTCAATATAGCTTGTTTTAAAAAGATTGGATAAAGAGGGCCCCTATGTTGGTTAAAAAAAACTTTGAACAAATGGAGAAATTGGCAGATGGGAGAAATATTGGGCGGCAATGGAGTGCTCTATGATGTATATGCACAAATAATTCATTTTTTCTGTATACGTGTTAAATTATGATTGGCAAGTAAGTAGGAATGTGATTTTTTCCATCTAAAATTTGTTTCCCTCCATATTTTCTTTTCAAAAATCTAATTCTTAATTGGGTTAAATTATAGGTAAACCTAAAAATTGGAAAGAGAGTTTGAGAAATTGTTGAAGTATCAGGTCATTTTGCTGAAATTTAAATTTCACTTCAGTTTGGGCAGAGCACTGCAAATTCCATGGCTTGGTGGCGCCTCCTCATTTCCAAAACCCCCAGCGCCACACCCCCACCTCTTCTCCCAAACCCTAGCCCTAACTCTAATCGCCTGCAGCTCTCCCTCTTCCTCCTCCAAACCTCTCCATTCTCCACCTCCTTCCTCATCACCAAAACCCCCAAAAAATTCAAAAAAAAGCGCAAGAAAGACGAAAGCCCTCGAACGAAGCTCGTCCAGACCCAACCCAACCTCATCCCCCACTTCGAGCACATCGTCGAGCGCGATGCCCACTTTCGGTTCCTCACAAAATCCAGAGACTTCCTCTCCAAGCAGCCCCACCGCGTCCTCCGCCTCGACGACGCCGGCAAGCTCCACCGAGAACTCGGCTTCCCTCGCGGCCGGAAAATCGCCCGATCCCTCCAGCGCCACCCCCTCCTGTTCCAAACCTACCGCCATGTCGACAACAAAATGTGGATCGGCTTCACCGAGTTCATGGAAGATTTGCTCGAACAGGAACGAGTCATTGTCGACTCAATGGAATCGGACCGAGTTAACAAGGTTCGTAAATTGCTCATGATGTCCGCGAACAAGCGTATCCCTTTGAGTAAAATCTACCATTGCAGGTCCTTATTTGGAATCCCAGAAGATTTTCGGGACCGGGTTTCGAAGTACCCTAATTATTTTCGAACTGTGGTTGAGGAAGGTGGGAAGAGAATGCTTGAATTGGTGAATTGGGATCCGTTGTTGGCGGTGAGCACTTTGGAGAGGGAGTTTATGGTTGACGAGGAGAAAGTGAAGAGGGCTTTTAGGTTTCCAGTGAAGCATGGGAAGGATTTGGGTTTGGAAAAAGAGGATGAGAGGAAATTGAACTTATTGAACTCCCTTCCTCTGGTTTCGCCTTATTCGGATGGGTCAAGATTGGACCTTTGGACTCTGGAAGCGGAGAAGTACAGAGTGGGAGTGTTGCATGAGTTTTTGAGCTTGACATTGGAGAAGAGGGCTTCTATACACCATGTTGTGGAGTTCAAGGAGGAGTTTAGTTTGACCAAGCATACTTATCAGATGCTTTTTAAGCAGCCCAGAACGTTTTATCTCGCTGGGACAGAGATGAATTGGGTTGTTTTCTTGAAAGATGCTTATGACCAAAATGGGGTTTTGATTGAGAAGGATCCGCAGGTGGTTTTCAATGAGAAGCTGTATAAGTACGCTGAAATGAAGGAAATGGAACAGGGTTCTGTTGATCAATGGAAATGACAAGAGGGTTTGGACAATTTGTGGGAGTTCTTTGCTTGTGCTCCAAGGAATGTTGTCTTATAGCTTGAGGAAGCTTGGACCTAGAAGGAACTTGGGTGCATCAGAGGTATCTTGGTTGGTCCTTGAATAGCTGTATCTTGTGTTGCAAGGTTTTTCGAGTCATAAGAAATCATAACATGTGATGTATATAAACCTTGGTGGCACCTTGTGGAAATTTGGATTATTTATCAACGATATGTCATTTACTTGGTAATTTTGTGGATGAAGGTGTGCAAAAATAAACCTCAGAGCTTTGAGTTGCATCAACGATATGTCATTTACTTGGTAATTTTGTGGATGAAGGTGTGCAAAAATAAACCTCAGAGCTTTGAGTTGCAGCAGGAGTTTTCATGTCTTGTTGGTCAACTGGTGCCTGGGTGATGGTGATCATTTAAGAAAATGAACTGAGAATTTTGTGAACAGGGGAATTCTGATACTACTACAAAGCAAGGATTTACTTGGAGAGCAAATTTTGTTTTTGTATTCTTTTGTAACTAGATTTCAGGTACTTAATGATTGGTGAAAATGAGGTCCAAAGTTCTGTTCTGATCCTTTGAGCGTGAACCTTGTAGAGTATCCTTATGATCGTATGAAAAAAAAAGGGGGAGAAAGATACGGAGTTTGGTAAAGTTAGTTGTTAAGCACTTGTCCTGTAAAATAAGAAATTAACTTTAATCTTTTGTTTGTTACTTTGTCTACAGAAAACCAGTGCGTTCTTAGAAAATCTTTATGGGGCCAGCTTGGCACGATGAATCTTGTAGTTTGCCTTTTTCTTTAGTGACATCCTAGAGGTAGCAATGAACCAAAATTTTAGTTCACAGCTCTCTCTCTCTCTCACTGGACCACGCAGGCCATAAAGATTTGAAACAGGAGAAGATAAAGCTTGAAGATTTTGGTTTTGTTTGCAAGCATTATGATGTTTACCCGCATATGTCTTTCCACGTCAAGTTTTGGTCACAAGATTTCTCTTTAGGGCGTAATATAATATGGCTGGCCTAAAGGTCATCTTCCATTTCGAAGTATCCCAAGCCATGTTCTGTTTTTCTCTTTCTTTTTTCCATATATAATTTGGAATCATAGAGTAGACACAAACCTCCAGCTAACCTTCGCCCTTGCCGCCTAGAAATTGAACTACTTGAATTGCTCTCACAATGTGAAATAACGGTCGGGAATTTTGCGACTTGCTTGCATCATTATAAGGGAAAACCCCTTTTTGGGACGAATGGCTGATACCCGGTATCAATCTACAGTTCATGACACAATGTTGATGAACAATTTACTAAATCATAATTTTCCAAATTCGTTTAGCTGCTTTGGATGTGCATTTTGTAGTAGGTTTAAGTTGCAACATCAACATGGGTTTCTTGTCTTATGTTCTCTAATGATTTTCTTTTTTCTTTTTTCTTTTTTCTTTTGCCTTGTAATGAATAGTAAGTGCCAATTTGGTTTCAACTAAATAGAAATTAGCAAATATAGCAAAAATGCAGCCTGCAATATATATAATAACCGATGGAAAACTGACATGAAAACCACCAGGTCTTTGTAGCCCTACAGACTTTGAAGAGAGTCTGAAAACAACAGAGAAGGGAGACACCCCCTACAAATTTTGTGTCAAAATTTTGGGAAGGCCCCCTAACATGGAAAAAGCATCTAATGGGATGAAGAGGGAAGTGCAGCTATGGATATGCTCTTGGACTTGCGTATGTTTTTCTGTACATCACTTGCACCGCTCTTGTGCCCACGGATGGGAAGTGATGAAGTTTTTCTTGGTGATATGGTATTAGGCTTTTTTAACGAGGCACGTTTTTGGTTAAGCCTCTTGCCATCTTTTCTACGAGGGCTCCATCCTTTGTTCCCTAATGCAGCTTTGGCTACACTGTTTGTGAGTACCTCTCTTGCTCTTTGTGGTTTGATGGACTGCTTGTTCAGGTACACTAGCTTCGGGAGGAAACCACAAACTGCCTTGCGCAGCTGCTCATCACCGATGTTGTTCTGGATTGGATTCCCTAACAGATTCAGAGCCTGCAGTGAGTTGTAGTTAGCCACCAGCTGTCCCATTGCCTTTGTTGTTGTTATCTTGTTGAAGCTCAGGTCCAGAACTGTTAACTTCAGTAGCCTATGTAGACCCTCGACATCACTGATCTTGTTCCCAGTGAAATAGAGCTCCTTGATTAGAGTGCAGCTTGATAACCCTGGCACCATTAAGATCCACAGTGAATCAGTGACCATTTGGAATAGTACATTTTACTTGGGAAAGCTTGTTTTCTAAGATCAATTAGATGGTTGAAAAGTTAGAATGATAAAAGCTTACCACGTCCAATTCTAGAAATGCGGTTGTAACTGAGATCGAGTACACGCAATCGAGTTAAGTCTCTTAGTCCTTCAATGGTGCTGATTTTGTTCTTCGACAAGTTGAGCGTGTGAAGGCTCTTCGGCAGCGATCCTGGAGTGATGTGGGCTGCAAATTGAGAACAATTGCCAAGAAGCTTAGTACCGTTAACCAACATGCAAGTATTAACTTCTATGGTTTATTTGTTTTCTGCTATAGCAACATACCTAGGAAGTTGTTTGACAGGTTGATGGATCGAAGACTGCCTAAGCATGAAATGTTGGGGATAGCTTTCAATCCCATACCAGATATGTGAGCCACAGTTGTAGAAGAATTTAGAGTCTGGATCACAGTATTAGCGTGTAAAGTATCCTCGTCAAGACCTCGACTAAAGTAAGTTGCGCTTTTCGATCTAGTAGTCTCAGGACTCACCGGAGATTGAGGAGTCTCAGGAGTGGGTGGGGTCGGTGGGGTGATGAGTCCCTCATAGTCATATTCATTATTTTCCAAGGGTTTCATTTTGAGATCTTTCACCCACTCTTGCACTCTTGTAGATGAGGATGTTTCTGCTGAGAAAGCAACCCATTGGTTCTGAGGCCATAAAGCAGAGCCTCCAATGTTAAAACCATCCCAGCTATTGTTGTCATCTGCAATATTCTTCCCCTTGTTCAAGGATTCTCCAGTATATGACAGAGGTGATTCCATCTTGACAAACTGCATAGCCCGGTTTGGTTCGAGTGTATCCGAAGAGTACCCTCCTTGCTTGTTCAAAGAAATGGGGCTAGGCGTTTTTTGTTTTGCAGTCCTGGTTTTGTGCAGGTTCCTGTGGCTCCAAAGGAACAACTTCCACCACAACTTTCTACTTCTAGAAGGAAGAACTTGGCTTGAAGAATGCTTCTTCAGCATCACTTTATCAGCAGTGAAGTGGGTAAACACAGAACCAGGGCTGCCAGGATCAACATCCTTCGTCACACTGTCTGCCAATTCATGTAATTCTTCAAAATACTGACTCTTTGAAGCAGGCAACTTAGATGACATCTTCTTAACCACATCCTTATGATGAGTTTCCAAATTAGAGCATGACCTGGTAAGCTTTGGTGATGCCCAAAACTCTGCCTTCCCTATGCCCGGATCACTAAGATGCCCGCTTTGAATCCTATCAACACCCCTATCACCTGAATCAGATTCGGATAAATCCATCTTCCCTGATGGAGCCACTTCACCTGAATTGGCTTCAGGGGTTTGCAGATGAGAGCAATCATTACAACAGTTTTCCCTCTCTAAGGGGCTCCCTTCATGCTCATCTTCCCCTTCATAGAATGCTGCTTCAACAAACCCAATAGGACTCTCAGGGCTCCTTGCCTTGCCACAAGGGGTAGTGTACTTCTTCTCAACACCATAAGGTATCAAGACTCCTAAAGTTGCTGGCTTCAAGGTCCCATCAATCTCCAAATGTTTCACAGGCTGTTGTTGAAGTCTGACTTGCAGTGTTCTAATTGCCTTGTCCACTTCAACAGGTCTTGCAGATTCATACTCTCTCTAAAATTAAACAGAAAAGGCAAAAAGAGGGCGGAAATTGAGCGGATCACAATTCACAAAGTTCAACAAACACCCAAATACACATATCACATTACAATAAAGAAAGCATCTATATTGAGAGAGGAGTCTCACCTGAACCTTCTTCTTCCGCCTAATTATCACAGAGAAGCAACTGAATTTTGTCATTTTTGATATAATAAACTCTGAATCCTAAAAAATAGACCGAAACCCGAAAACGCTTGTATTTCAGTCTAGTTTTGCCTGCTGTTTTCTTCAAAACTGAGCTCACATTCAAATTCCAAAAGTCTGGTTGTTGAGGTTTTACACTGATGTTAGTTGGACCAAGTGTTAACCATAATCAACAGGAAGGCACCAAACCAGTGACTGAGGCCACCCGCAACAGGGTTGATGACCAGAAAACTGAGGGCCAGCACCTGCTCCGGCTCGAGAAAACTTGTCTGAATTGTCGGCCAGAGTTGTATATGCTGCAGCTCCTCTCTGGAAGCTTTGGGAAAATGTGTTTGTTCAAAAACCTTCTCTGTTCACAAAACAACAAAAAATAACCGAACCCATTAGAAATACTTACAAATCATTTTAAAAACCAACATTAGCTTTCTTTGAATCAAACACATGAACCCAATTCAGAGACAAAACCCATATCCCCAGAAAACCACCAAGACATGAACTTTATTGCAGAAAACAACAACCACCATACCAATTAGCATACAAAAACTTTTAGAAGCAACACGTGAAGATTGATACGTACTATGTACGGCCATCATTTTGTGGCAAAAAAGATTGGCAAAAAGAAAGACAATCTTTACATATGTTACAGAGTTTTTTTACCTGCCAGAATTGCTTTAGTTTCCCAAAGCAACCAGTTTCGAGCCTCTTTCTCGATCACACAGACCAACTTCACAATGTGAAAGAGAGAGGGAGGGTGGCGGTGGTGATGGACGAGCGCATTTACTCTCCACACACCCCACTGGACGAAAGTTTTCTGACTCTCGTCCTCTCTCCTGGTGCCTTTCAGGCGTGGAAGATTCTTTTTGAATGAGAAGAAAGAAAGGTCTTGGGCTCCTTCCAACCTGGAAAAACGGCTTGAAACTCTCGTTTGAGCGGTGGTTGTGGTTGTGAACTAAGTAAGCCACAGCCTGGAAAACACTAGAAATAGGCAAAAGAGGAGACGGAGATATTTAGAAGATTTAGAAGAGCCGCACAAGAAAAGGACATACGCGCATGTTACACGGTTTCTGAAACATGTAACCCTCCCAATATAATATCCAGACCAGAATAACCTGCCGTAATAAAACCAATATACTATAGAATTAAATAAATATATTTTTCACCTTACCTTCTACATCATCACCTTACTTATTGCCACAATAATGTGCTAAAATATCATCTTAAATTTTCACCATTTAATACAATTCTTTTTTCATCAGGACTGCCTAGTGATGTTAGCAATCCACATATTTTATAACTTATAATATGTGAATACTAAAACATACTAGCAATCCGCATATTATACCCTGAAGTACAATCATGTTGTACATCCTTATTATAACACGGTGGTGATTGATAGCACCTACATAGAAATCGACATAGACTTCCCTTCCCTACCACATCATTAAATGAGTAACCTAACATTGCACTGCAGAATATAAATCATAAATAAAAA